ATTCCACTGGCATTTGCAGAAGACAAAGGAGAGAATGCATCGTGAACAAGGGCTAGATGTTCAATCATGTTCAGGACACATTCATCATGGCGGTAATGAAGCTGAACACAGAAATGGACAATGATTTTTACGTGACTGCTGGGACATGGAGGTTTCACTACCTCCTCAGGAGTGGTCTTGGTCTTTGCCTGTCAGGGCAAGTATCCTCGCCTTGTAGGGATTGAGGAGCTGAATGTTGAGTACCTTACCACCCATCTTAACTCTGTCTGCTCTATAATGGGCTGTTTCCTCCTGGAAAGAGACAAAGAGATGGATGGGGTGAAACGAAAGTGGCTAGCACTGCCAATAATGCTGGTGTAGTTGGTCAGAAAGTGGTGAGTTGTTGCGAGCGAGTGAGGAGGTAGTGCAGAGGCCATGCAGGATTAGTTGTCTGGCAGTGTTGGATTAATTGAGAGTTAGTGAGGGAAGATTTTGCAGGCAATAGTGAGAGTGGGAGACCATAAGCCTTGGTGGGAGGTGGATACAGTAGCAGATTTAGAGTGAATGTGAGGTATCAGAGAAAAGAGTGTGGCACTTAACTTTGCAGAATGGAAAAGGTCATTGAACTTCTTCCTACATGAATGCGCATTCCTCCAGGTGACTGAGGCCAAACTGAGCCAGGTTGCAATTTCATTCCAGGCTGACAATGTCTGATATTATATCCTCTCCTCCAGTCCTGTGGGAAGAGGATGTCTCTCCTCTGTACCACTCTATCAATCAGGACCTCCAGCTCTCTGTCCTTAAAACACAATGTCAAATTCCCCTTATATGCCATAATGAGGCAAGTTACTTTAAATATGCAAGACATATAGCCAACACTTGGCCAGTGTACAATGGCCATTCACTTTCACCTTCTGCAAGTGGGAGAATATGATGAGCAGGTAGCACTGGGTGTGACACAAAACTAATGAGGTGAGTTTGGGATGATACTGTGAGAAAACCTGCTAGGCTTCCTGGAGTGAAACCCTCCATGAAACTCATCAAAACTGACACTTAGCCGATTTCTATTAAGAGTTATCCCATAATAACAGATACTTTAAAAGATAAAAGGGCTAATAAGGTGGACATTGGTTTAATAGAAAGCGAGTATTGGAAATTAATAATGAAAAATAAGGAGATAGCAGATGAATTAAACACCATTGTCAAGGATGCAAGAACATTCCAGAAATAAGTGTAATTCAGGAAATAGGGGGCAGGGTGGAACTCAAGAGAATTATACACAATCACTAGAGAAAATATATTAAACAAATCATTGGAGGTGCAAACTAAAACGTCTCCAGGTCTTGATGAACTTAAACCTAGGTTCTTAAAAGAAGCAATATTCTAAATTTCCTTAAATTTGGGGAAGGTTCCATTCAAATGGGAGATAGTGAATGTACTCTCTTTATTCAAAAAGGGAGGGAGGCAGAAAGCAGGGAGCTACAAGACAATTAGCTTAACAGCAGAAACTATTATTAAAGACATTATAGCAGGATACTCAGAAAAAAATAATCAGGCAAATTCAACATGGGCTTTGTGAAAGGGAAATCATATGTAATGAATCTATTGAGGTTCTTTGAGGAAGTAACATGCCCTATAGATGAGAGGGAACAAGTGCACTTGCAGGCATTTGGCAAGATGCCACGTCAAAGTTTATTGCTGAAAATAAAACCAGGTTGCAGGGGTTACCTTATTGGTATGGCTGGAAGACTGGCTGGCTAACACAGAATAGGCATAAATGGGTCATTTTCTGGTGAGAAAGATATAATGATTAGTGTACCACAGGGATCAATGTTGGGCCATTGCAATTTTAAAAATAAGCTTGTATGATGAGGCTAAAGGTATGGCTGCTAAATTTGCTGATCACACAAAAACAGGTTGTGAAGAGGTTGTAAGTTGTGAAGACAACTTAAGGAAGTTCCAGAGGGATACTGATCTTTAACTGAGTGGGAAAAGAGCTGGCAAATGGAGTATATTGCAGAAAATGGGAAATTGTTCAATAACAAAGAAGAGTATCATTTGTATGTTGAGGGATTGCAGAATTCTGAAATGCGGAGAGATCTGGGTGTCTTGGTGCATGAATTACAAAATGCTGATATGTAGGTACAGCAAGTAATTAGGAAAGCTAATGGAATGTTATTGTTCATTGTAAGCGAGGAGTAGGGAACTTATGCTTCCATTGTAAAAGGCATTGGTGGGCCACAACTGGAATACTGTGTACAGCATTGGTCTCCTTATTAAAGGAAAATGTAAATAGAAGCAGTTCAGAGATAGTTTATTGGACTAATACCAGGACTGGATAGGTTGTCTTGGAATGACAGTCTGGATTGCATCCTTTGGAGCTTTGCAAGGTAAGAGGTGACTTCATGGAAACATAAGCTACTGAGGGGTCTTGACAGGGTGGCTGTGGAAAAGATGTTTTCTGTTGCAGTAGGAGAATCTAGGTTTCAGGTTCACTATTTAAAAATAATGAGTTTAAGGCAGAGATAAAGATGCATTTATTCCACAAAGGAATTCTCCTCAAAAGGTGGTGGAAGCTGAATCCTTGAATATTTTAAAGGAAGATGTAGATAGATTCTATATAACTAAGCAGTGAAAGGTTACTGGAGACAGGTGAAAATGTGGAGTAATCAGATCAGCCATAATCTTACTGAATGTCAGAGCAGGCTCAAGAGGCTGAGTGACCCACTTCTGATTTGAATTTTTATGTTTGTAAACATTTGGCACCACATACTGCAACTACACTCCACCACTGAACCTTATAAAAGGGACCATCAAAAATTTACAACAGTTAATTCTGTTCTTCTCCAAGTTGTAACCCTTAAATGGAGAATTTTGCCTGGTCTTCCTTTTCACTTTGACCTTCTGGACCCATTTTACACCAGTTGCACTCGGACCCAATCAGTAGATCAGTACAGCTCAAGAACAGGCTCTTTGGCCCATCTTGTCTGTGTCAAGAATGTTGCTATTCTAAATTAATTTCATCTGCCTGCACATGGTTCGTATCCCTCTGTTCCCTGCTTGTTCATGTGTTTGTCCGAATGGTTTTTAAACTTTGCTAATGTATCTGCTTCTACCACCTCCCCTGGCAGCGCATTCCAGGCACCTACTACTCTCTGTGTAAAAAACTTGCCTCACACAACTCCCTTATATTTTTTCCCCTCTCACCCTAAACCTATTCCCCTTAGTATTTGACATTTCCATCCTGAGAAAAAGACACTGACTCTCCAACCTATCCTTGCATCTCATAATTTTATATACTTCTATCAGGTCACCCCTCAGCCTCCAACGCATTTGTGAAAACCATCCAAGTTTGTTCAACCTCTCCTTATAGCTAATACACTGCAATCCAGGAAACATCCTGGTAAATCTCTTTTGCGCCCTCTCCAAAGTTGCCACACCCTTCCTATAGTGTGGTGACCAGAAGTGCATGTAATACCCCAAATGTGGTCTAAATAAAGTCCCATACATGTGCAAGATGACTTGCCAAATTTTATACTCAACGACACGACCAATAAAGGCAACCATGCTGTACTTCTTTTTTTACCACCTTATTCATTTATGTTGCCACTTTCAAAAGTTATGGACCTGAACCTCAAAATTCCTTTGTATATCAATGCTCCTAAAGGTCCTGCCATTAACTGTGTATTTTCCTCTTGCATTTGACCTCCCAAAATGCATTACCTCATAAATCCATTTGTCATCTTCTCAATCCAACTTTCCAACTGATCTTATATCCTGCTGTATCTTTTGATGACCTTCCTCACTATCCACAACTCCACCCACTTTCCCATCATCTGCAAACTTACTAATCAGACCACCTACATTTTTATCTAAGTCATTTACACGTTACAAACAACAGAGGTCCCAGCACTGATCCTTGTGGAACGTCACTAGTCACGAATCTCCAGTCAAAAAAACACCCCTCCACAACTACCCTGTCTCCTATGACCCCAAGCCAATTTTATATCCCATGTGATTTCATCTTCTGAACCAGCCAACTGTGAGGAACCTGTCAAATGCTTTAGTAAAGTCCATGTAGACAACATCCACTGCCCTACTCTCATCAATCATCCTTGTCACTTCATCAAAAAAACTCAATCAAGTTTGTGAGACAAGACTTCCCCAGCATAAAGCCATGCTGACTATCCCGAAAAGTTCATTCTTCTCTAGTCTTGAGGAAAATCAGAGCTGAAGTATTAGAAATGTACAGCAAACATCAACATTTATAGATGTAAAATGGCTATTGACCTTTTGCTGAAATTTTCATCTTTACTTTCTTTTTATTGATACTGCAAAACATGTTTATTTACAGAATATTGTATCTTCATTTCTCGAGTTAACTGTAACCACTATCACAGATTTTCTGCAAGTTCTCTGATGTGTAGTGATTAGTTGAGTCACATTTAGTGATTAACGTTAAAATGTCACAGCAGTGTTGACAAAATATAATTAATTAGGCATTGGTAAAATAAAACAAAATAAAACCCCTAGGACATCTCACAGATTTTTCATCAAACTGTTTTCAATTTTGACTCATTGTTTATTCATTACAGTTTAGATAGAGGAAACATTAATGTCAATAGAAATGAGGTATATGAATCTGAGGCTAACAATGAATAAGTGTGCAGTGTGCTGTGCGAGTGGGCACTGTAGATTTAGTTCCCTAAGCTACTGAATTGTCAATTTTACCTCTGCTAAAAACAAAGTGAAATAAGAAAATTGCTCCTCCAAATGGCACTATTCTATTGTTAGCTCACTTTGAATGACCTTACAAAAGACTTATGAGCTTTCTTCTTGCCTGCTGATTGACCTCATGAGACAAATGGAAACAAAGAGGAAATGAAGGGTCTTATTATGTTCCCAAACAGGACATAGTTCAGATACTTTGTATGACGAATTGTATAGACACTACAGGTCATTCTTTCAAAAAATAACAGGCAGAAATTAAAACATACTGACAATGCAAATTCCAGGCTCACCTTTCCTGGCGTGTCTGCTCTTCCGTAGTTTCCATGGCACATTCCAAGGAATTCTGTAAAGACTGGAGTTGGTTCACTGTTTCCTTCAGCAGAAAACGAGTCACAAACTGTTCCAGGTTACATGAGCCTTGGTAATCCTAAAGAAATTGAATTCAATTTAAATATAATTGCTTAAATAAATCTGGAATAAAAAACGGCGGCTTCAAAGTCCATCACCAAGAGTGATGCTGAACCATGACTCCTGCCTAAATTGGCTCAGTACTGCTGCAAATTGGAAGGACAGAAAAACTTTGTACATGAGGAGGTTTATTACCAAGATAATGGAGATTTTATTTTTCTGCCCACCACAGACATTATGCTGGACATGTGGCTATGCAAAGTGCTGAGATCAATTTTTGGAAAAATATTTCTAATTCAGATGAGAAGCTTCATCTCTGATATGACTGATGCATCAACCAACATGTTCACCTGGGAATATAATATCAATATGACTATGTAGATCTTGCGACCCATGACCCAAGCAATATTGGGGACTGGCCTTGATTACCTGATTGATGCCATATTTAATGCAAGACCCATCATTCAAATAACTAATTTCTCAGGACAGCACAGTCTTGAGAATAGAACTCAATCAGCTCTGAAGTAGCTCTCTTATTGATGTGACTGATCACTAACAACCATGACCACATGCTCATTAGCATTCACTCACCTGAATAGGAGGAATCAAGTATATGGTATTGGAGTTCAAATCAACGTCCTTTCTTTCAAATCTGAATATTACATGAGAATGTGTCTGTGAGACCATAACATTTTGGAAGCAGACATAGGCCATTCAACCCATCGAGTCTTCTCTGCCATTCAATGAGATTGTGGCTAATTGGATAATCTTAACCTCGACTTCTTGCCTTTTCCCCAAAACTCTTAATTCACTCATTGATTAAAAATCTGTTCATCTCAGCTTTAAATATATTTAATGACCCAATCTCAACAGTCCTCTGTGGTAAAGGATTCCACAGATTCACTTTCTCACAGAAAGAATAACTTCCTCCCTATCTCCATCGTAAATGTGTGACCCCTTATTCTGTGGTTGCACCCTCTGGTCCAAGGTTCTTCCATAAGGGTAAACAACCTTTCTACATATAGAGATAGTAAGATCTCCAGATGCTGGAGTCGGAGATAACACCTGAAACGTCAACTTTCCTGCTCCTCTGATGCTGCCTTTCTTCATCCACCTATTCAATACCCCAAAGAATCTTATGCTTCATTTTGCATGTTATTAAGTTCCCCAATAAACAATGCTGAGTCATGCACAATAATCTCTGAAATTCTTTTTTTTCTTCAGTACTACACTATCAGACAGTATTACCAATCATTCCAATATGTCATTTGAACTGTTTGAAGATTTCAAATTGGACAAGCAAGCCATTTCAGTACTAGAGCAGAGAATCAGACAAATAGGCAGAAATAGATATTCCATCAATCACTAATAATTACTTTGATTCGAGTCCAGATTGAATGCAGTCTTGAAGAGGTGCACTGCTATTAGATCCTGGCCAGGACTCTCACTAGGGATTGCATTAATGGGTGGGTGAATCATAAGCAGACACACCAATGAACTGAAACACCCAGAAACCTTCCAGAAATGAAGCTGGGCCAATAAAATTGTCGAGGCCCCTGCTCATCTTGAATTTGTGGACCTGTTGCCTGCTTCTGACATTACCAATGCTGCTCTGATTCTCCACTTAAAATTTGTGGCAACTGTAATCGTAAATGTCTGTACCTAGTTTTAGAAAATGTCTTTCATATGTTCATCCACAGAGTTAGCAACACATCCATCTAAGCATGAATATAAGGCCATTTGTTGTTGGCTCTGTAATCCTCCAATACAATAACAAACACAGATATTGTAAATATTTGTGTGTGTTGTGAATGTGTTTCATATATAAGACAGCTCCTCTGTTTTAAGTGCCACCAAGTACAAACTTGAAATCTCCAATGCTGACTGTATTAAAATGTCTGGAACTGATGAGGAGGTACCTGAGCGCCAAGCAAATGGTAGGTGCCACTGACCTGGCATTATGAGAGCAACTCAGTCCCCAATATGGGGTAGGACGGGGGAAATTAAATTGGTAAAGAAGCTCCGGTGTTGTATAATGGTTCTGAAGGAGTTAATGTTCATGCTACATTGAGTTCATCCATTCTATTAATATCACATACATTCTGTCAATGGAGACAGTGAGTTCTACTCTAGCCTTCCGAGGGAGCAGATTTTTGAGCTATGTCTCATGGTCAGTATGCCACTATGCCTTTAACAGACATGCTCATGATATCATCACTGTATTATTGTGTGACCTGAGGATATAAAGGTCTCACATCCCATCTGACTTTTGATTTTTTGAAGTATAATACTCTATTAGAAGCTTCTGTTGTAATCTAATAGCTTAATTTTAGCTGCCACTAATATACTTCAAGAGTGTAACATAATAGTTAGTTATAAAAGAACCTTTGGATTCTTTAATACCACTATATCCACATCCAGTTTCTATGAATGACTACAATTTTTTGGTGACAGAGTTTGGGATGCTAATTGAAGATCAACAAGGCAACAGTCTTGGGCAACAGATAATTCAGACAAAGTGAAAGTTTCCCTTACATGACATCAGTTTTCATAAGGACAGACAGCTATACTGATCTGTAGGTAGAGCACTAACCACCAAGAAAACAGAGCTAATTACATTTTATTCAACATCCAATTTTAACAGGACAAAATTCAATTTTAAAGATTCCGTTATTAAAAAAATTAAAAGACTGAACTGAACTCTTAAGTTAGACTGTGAATCCAGTGCAGTATACAGTACAGAAAGCTAGAAGGCTAGAACAGGCTGTTGCAGACAGCTGATTCATAACCAAGTCTCCCATGATAACAGTTGCAGAATCTTCGTATTTAAATACAGAACAATTGTACTTTATACTGACACAATGTTAGGGAACCTAACTTAATGTGGTACAGTGCATTGATTTTGAGTGGAATCATTATAGTGCAAAATTCAATATGTATTGTGTATCCATTGACATCCTTACTGAATTACAACCATTTAAACAACATATGCAATTCTATTTTATAGAACAAATGATAGAAAATCCTAAGGAATATCTTTAAAATCTTGCTTACATTGGCAAGGAAGAGTTTCACAGAATTAACACATTTGTTATTTGCATGGACAATTGAAAATATCTAGAGGTTCTTGGAGACCAAAGCAAGATAAGAATAAATTCAGGATTAACATACTTCAACTAATTTCATACAGACAGAAACCCCAAGAGTCTATTGATCCATTTGTCAGGAGATACACAGCAAAGGGCAGGAACTGCCAGCAAAGCTCATTAAGTTAGTAATCATGTTTATACCAATTAAAGCTTTTAGAAAGGATCCTTTGGGCAAGATACAGGGCCATACCATTGACAATAAATACAAGTATTAATCCATTGTGACAGGCCAATAACAATGATATGTTTTCAGTGCAGTCAACATCATTGCCACAATCAGGAAAGTGTACCAAATTCACAAAATATGTAAGGAACCTGTTTGTCACACCCACAAAGAAAAAGGTTTTCCAGCTTTTCTTGATATTTGTGAAGCATGGGGCTTTACAAGGGAAATTGAATGTGCAGAACATCTGATTCCAAAGGACAAGCCAGACCCAGAACAAAACAGAGGTGGTTAATAAGGCAATATAAAACACCGCAACACTGGCAGCAAGAAAATAATATTAAGCAGGCTTTCAAATCCAAACACATCAATTAAGTTCAGAGTCAACAAAGTAAAAGGCAAATATAAGAAGATGACCACACCTTCCAACACAAACAAAAACAGAAATTGCTGAAAAAGTTCAGCAGGTCTGTCAGCATCTGTGGAGAGAGATCAGAGTTAACGTTTTGGGTCTGGTGACCCTTCCTCCGAACTGGAGGAAGGTTAGTTTTCAGGAAGGGTCACCAGACCCAAAATGTTAACTCTGATCACTCCCCACTGATGCTGCCAGACCTGCTGAGCCTTTCTAGCAATTTCTGTTTTTGTTTCTGATTCACAGCATCCACGGTTCTTTCTGTTTTATTTACAACTAAACCTTCCATATTGCTAATCCCATGATTGCTAATCATTAATATCATATATCCTGAAAAGGCAAGACAGTAAAACACTAAAAGCTAAAATCAATATGAAAGCTAATTGGATTACCACACAGTATCCTGAAAGAAATGTATCTGAGAAAATGGCCTCCATGGTTTATCTATGAGATTATCTGACATCACGCAATAGACCACCAATTTCACACATTGGCAGAATCACACTGCAGTGCCAATAAAAGCCATATTTTGTTTTTTCCACATTAGGGTAACGACTGAACATAGGGTTTGAAATTTTACATTATTAACAATGTATAATATTTTGATGCATCTTACATCGAAGTTTTAACATTACTGCTTTAATTCCACACAGCAGTAGGCAAACAGATCTGTAATTTCTTCCATTTTGAGATAGAATTGCAATTTCCTCTCTGCCTTTAGATAGGACCCAGTCGGTAACCACTAGAGAATAGGTTATATCTTTGCCCGAAATAACTGGAAGGTCGCCTGGCTGGTAAGGCTGTTCTTGGGTCACAGCTACGGATTAGTCTTTCTTTGCTTTTTTTTTTAATCTATCCAATCTCTGACCTAACACTAACATTCACAGAATTGCATAGTTTTCCTTCAATTTGGTATTATCCCTAACTTCCTCACTTTAACAGATAAAACATCCTTTTCAAACAGGATGCGAGACAACAAGGTGCAGGGCTGGATGAACACAGCAGGCCAAGCAGCATCATAGGAGCAGAGAGGCTGACGTTTCGGGCCTAGATCCTTCATCAGAAAAGGGGGAGGGGAAGGGGGTTCTGAAATAAATAGGGAGAGAGTGGGAATTTTTTTAACACCGGGATAATCTTAGCTGAGTTATTGAATATCTCCAGAAAAGTCTGCCACTGTATCCCTACATTTTTAACCTAATTTCCAGACCACTTTTGACAACTCTGCCTTCACATTCTCATAATTTCTTTATTTCGATTTGAATCACTAGTTTTCGATCCACTTTTCTCACATTTAA